TTTTCATTTCTTTCATAGTCAGTAAATCAGTTATATCTGTGGGGGCATGTGTGCATATGTTCCTGAATCCTAACAGTGACACCTGCTGGACATTTAAAAGAGTTGAGGCAAGAGTTGGGGCAATTTAGATCAGGTGCATGTAAGAACATGTAACTAAATTATTCTTTTTTTAAGCCTAAACTTGATTTTGCTTTTAAATAAAAATAATGCTTTGCCACCATATTATTAGTTCTACTATGTTTGGTTAAACTATTTTGCTCTCTGTACAAAGCAGTTTGAAAGCACATTTGATACAAAATGAATGATTTGGAATCTTAAGCCATGTTTATTTTGTTTTTGTTATTTAGTGTGATTCTTCATGAAACTCACCCCGGTCTTCAGATCTCCTTCAAAAACAAAGAGTTGCTGTTGTTGGACTTTTGGTCAATTTAAAAAGCTCATTTGCTCAAAATGCAAAACTGTTTGCACTGAACTGCAGATATTTGCACAGGAATTCATCTAGGTCATATCTTTTGGAGTTTATCTCTGATTTTGCTTGGCTGTGTAAAATAAATAAATAAATAAATAAATACAATCTTTAGGGACTGCAGAGCCTCCAGACTGCCCAGACGAGTGCAGCTGCAATGGAAGCTGCACAAACAGCAACACGTTAAAGCAGCTCTGGCTTGCTTGTACAAAAGTGGGACAGTGTTTGCCTAAAGGAGGGTGAAGTGGTCTTTTGAAGGACAGTCTGTGGTTCAATTTCCCATGAGGAAAAACTGAGTCACTGTGTCTGTGTTTTGTTACACACAAGTGAAGGTGCCTTTCAGGCAAAAATAAAATAAGGCKGAGGCTGTTTAAGTTGCAGTACAATCATTCGTTGTCATGTAATTAAAGCTGCAACAACACAAGAGCCAAGGTTGWGCCGAACAGCCCGAGCTCAGCAAAATCCTCCACAGAAAAAATAAAAAAAAGTTAATAGAAAATGGTTGGTCCTCAACCTTTGTGGGACATTTTAGCCGAGCAGCAAAATCCAAAGAWACATTAAGTTAGATTATCGATTGTTTGAAATGTCACTCAAAGTCTTGTATGAAAATATAAGCAAATTTATCTGTGCCAAATTGGAAGAGAGGCATCAAAACATAGGGTTACTTGGAGTCCAGAAGAATTATTATTCCATGTCGTCCTGGTCACAGTTACCTAGCACAGCAACTGGATTATTGGGAGATTTGAAAGGTCAGTCACATAAAATTATATTTTGCTGGCCTCTCAGGTATGCATTTGTGGCCAGAACACAGGGAGGTTTGACATGTACAGACAGTCTGCAATGGATGCACCACTTCTCACTTTCTGGATCCCCGTGAAACTCCAAATTGAAATCCACCTTATTCCTGGGGGTGCTACTGTAGAAATGATTATGGGTACGAATTCCTGTCAGAAACACAGGAAGAAGCTGTAAGCTTTGGTTAATCAAGGTAGCGAAGCACGGACCTTGGTTTATTTGAAAGTAATTTGTTTTTGGATTATCATAGCAAACTTTGGTTTTGTTTTGTTTACATTTAACAAACGTAGAGTTTACATATGGCTCTGTGGAGTTCAGATACCTGTTTTGCTGTTTGTGGCTGCCCGAACAACCAAACCAAACTGATTCAGTGGCTACAACAACAGCGTTTTGAGCAAGAAAACAAAACAACAAAAAAAGTAATCCTGTAAAAAGTGATATAAATTCCATCACCTTACCTACAGATGAGGAATCAAGAAGAATGTGGCTGAAAATCTAAACCTGAAGTGACCACAAAAATGCTGTGTTTGCTAATTTCACTTTGTTTACAATTGGCTGATGGAGAAAAACCTACATGTAACTTTGTGGCTCTGACAACCACTGTCAAACCACCAAAGAAAAGATGACGGATCCTCGGAAGGATTGAAAAAAAATGTGCAACAAGAATACCTCAGAGCTTCTGCGGACACTTATTCATGTCATCCTCCAATCCCTTGACAGCAATAGGCAACAGTTTATTGTCCTATTTGAGTTCTGCCAGGTGTTCTCACATGTTTAAARCCACAACGCTCAGAGAAACTGTTAGTTTGTACTGTTCACACATAAACAAACGCAGGTTCAGGTTCATGTCAGAAATTGCTCCCATAATTCATGCTAGGCATTAGGGTGATAAATGACCTTTCAACCAATCACCTGTTTGCATTTCTTCATTAGGTAGCTTACTAAGGAWAGCATTTTGAATGAAATATTTTACTTCTGATCACAACATCAAGCTAACCTGAGAGAAACCAAAGTGGATTGCTGCCATCACATACTATGGTGATTCATGAGATTGGCGTTTAATAAAATTGTACACTCTAAAAATGAAATGTTGGATTTACTTAACCATGTTATGTGACCTGGTTCCACTTACTGTAACTGAGTTGAGTAAATTCAAACAACATACTCATGTTCTTTGGCTAAAAAACTGGTATATTGCTTTAAATTTACTCAACTCAGTTATGTGGAACCAGGTAACATAACATGGTTAAGTAAATCCAACATTTCATTTCTTACAGTGTACTTCATCATTAATTTCACATTACAAAATAATTATTATAATGTGTTTGGAAATTCCTTTTTATGGGCTTTTTTAAAACTGAAAGTAGTTGAACATTAAAATTCGCATGGCAAAAAAACAACAACTTGAAAAACAAAATGGACAGAATCAGTGGAAAAAAAACATTTCTTTACATTTKTTGGGGCATTTATTGAATAACATTTATTCAAAAATGGTGCAACCCTCACTAAACATAGCAAACAAAAAAAATTATATATATTTATATGTTTTTTCTTACTAAAAGGCTCTAAAAAGGCAATTTTCTTTGAGAAGTCCAAGAGACCATATAGGAGTGATAAAAGCTGCACACTTTAAAAATAAATGATCCAATTTATAAAACACTTTTTAAAATGTACTTAAACATACAATATATTATTCAGAAGTAAAATATTTAGCCTGTAATAGATCTAATCGTAAACTTGAATTTTTTGTCTTGTTGCTTAGCCTCTCCAGTTTAAACCTCCCACCCCCTACATTATGGGGGATGGGGCTTTGTTAATGGAGTGCTGAGTATCGTGTGGATAAATGCATTTTGCCACATGTTTGAACTGTGTTAACAACACACAAACTTTCAACAAGTTATAGGTTGAACGTCTAGAAATGAACTTGTGCATGTTTTTTTTTTTTTTTTTTTTTGGGTGGGGGGAGTCCACTGTGCAGGATGTTAATGATAAACTTGATGACCTCCTCCTCAGCAGGAAATTCACAAACTCAGGCAAACTTGCAATGTTGGAGTCTGCACTTACTGAGTTTAACATCACCTGAATGATTCATCGTGTGTGTTAAAAAATAAAACCTTAACAGTTGCTTTTCCAGCATGAAATGAACTGTATCAATGATGTAAAGCTACTGCTTCAAGGGGACCTATTATGCAAAATTCACTTTGTAAAGGTTTTTTTTTAACTCAACTTTGGTTATGTACTTCTTTAAAAAACAGTCCTAGGACCAAAAAAATGCACCCAGGGGCATATTTACTGTAAGTAAATGTAGATTAATGTATATTAARGACAGGTTTTATACTTCCGTTATTTTGTGATGTCACAAGCTGTACGACAACCCACCAGAACCTGCGTTCAGCCCCTTACCTAGCAACCTCCGAGTGAGACTCCTCCTCCTCAGTYTAAAAAGCCGTCACAGTGTTATGTYATGCYCAGCTCAMTTCACAACAAGCRTCCAATTGGGCAATGGGTAGAGTGTTGGACCAGAGAGTGAGAGACCAGMGTTTGAGACCGGCATGGACATAATTTAATTATTTATTTATTTTCGTTCGTTATGAACACATTTTCTCATGTACTGTTGTTGCTAGAATTYCTCTTAAACACAGGAGTCTCTGGTTGACAGCCAGCTGAGTGAGTTTTACTGGAGTTACATGGTTCAGACAGTCCCAACTTAAAACAATGAGAACCAGCCCCGCCGAAGTGGGCAGCTCACTTTTTATACCTTTATTCTACGTCACCAGATCAAASCGATCCAAGATTTGAGAAGGCTGTTCACATACGCACACGTTGGAAACTTTTTATATAACATTTCCCAAAACAGATCTTCATCACAGTTTCCCGTTAATCGGTCCACTCCTTGTTCTTTCCCGTAAACAACTCATGAGTCCCACACACACTAATGAAAGTAACTTTCTGACCGGTGTTTTCCCTACTTGTCCAGACATTCTTGACTAAATATAGCAACCTGTTTATAACATAAAGGCTAAGTGTAAGCCAGAAACTAACAGTTAAAGAACCCTGCCATTTCAGTACCTCTATTTTTTAGCATATTAAAGCCTTGTTAAAGCCTATTTGTTCGAGTTTCTGAGGTATTTTGACCGCTGCTGCTCCCTGCTCTGGTAACAGCATGCAGAGTGAGCGCAGAGCAGAGGAGGGYGAGAAAAAAAYAGAAGCTGCCACCACGACTCTGCCTCTGGGTCTCATATGGTTGTACAACAGAGCTTCWGCTATTATTAGCCATGCTAACGTAAACGCTGGCTTTGGAGGGCGGAGTTAATGTCAACAGATTTTTGGAGGGCGTTACCAACAGAGCTCATTAACATAAACAGCTCTTCTGAACGGAAGTCAGAGCAGGCAGAACTAGAAAATGGGAAACTTTATTATCTGAGAATTATTTTGTGCATTAAATTGAATGAACATGGTCTGGATAGCCCACAGACATACCATAAAAATTTCTAGGACCCATAATTGGTCTCCTTTAAAAAAAATCTCTGAAAAGACTGATTACTTCATACAGCAGTGGAATAAAGAGACTGTCTGGAAAGAACAGATAACTTTTGTCACATCAAATGTCACCGTCTAAACTTATTGAATTTGAAATGGCATGTATTCCCGCAGTATTTGATCTGCAGAAGTGGCTTCTGGGATTTTACAATATTTTATCCATTGAAAATATGAAAGGCACATATAAGAAGACAAACCCTAATGCTATAAGGAGTGATATTTATTTTCCACTCATCTCCAGGAACAGTGATCTGAGCACATATCCTGTATTTCATAAAAATGTCTACAAAGACTGGACATAGAACATCATGGTCATGAAGTTAAAACAGTAATGTTAAAATAAGCACGAAATATTACAAGCAATGAGGTTGGGTTTAATGTATTTCCGGTAAAACAGCATTTTAAAGAGCATCAGTTGTTCAAAAAACTGGGTTACAAACCTTATTTCATTGAGAAATACAACCAAATCTTWATTTTTATGTTGACAAGTTGCCTTTTGGCTCTGTTGATACATAATGGGCAAATCTAAATAACCATTGTAGACCCCTTTTATGTTAGAAAACTAGTTATAATCCAAATCAGAACTTTGCCATTGGTTGATGTTAAGATACAGGTATATCTTTCTGACATCATTATTGTGCAAAAAATCTGACAACCTAATGTTCATGAATGCATTGGTTTTTAGAGGTTAATTGCAAATTTCAGAATATAAACTGTAGTCCCCCCCCAAAGAAAAAAACATGTAATAGTCTATTTCCCCTTTAGCCTCCTGTACCACCTTGGGGCAACAACTGTAAAGTGATTCATTAATTGTACATCACATAAACATAGGGTCGCAAAAACAAAATTAGCACAGTAAGTCAAAGAGAACACACTTGCCCTAGTCTGAACACATGTAAATTGCACAAATATTGGATGTCTATAGGCTACAAAACCATGAAAGTGTAAATGATGTGCAAAAAAGACAAAGTTTATTTGAACTCTGCATTTTATATCAGCATAAGCTGTTTCTCTGGGTCACACTTTTTAAAAAATAATTCAGCATTTATTATCACAGAACAAAATTTTATCTGAATAAACAGCCATGACTACTTTGGTTTCCTGCAGGTAAAGATGAAAAGGATGGCACGGGGTACAATAATTTTACAAAATATACATGTTTTTCCACATTTTCCAGCAACCACAGTTGTTTTAAATTGAATATGCTTCTCTGTGAATGCATTATGTGTACTTTTAAAGATTTTCAAAGTGCAATGTCTTATGATGGATAAAAGTTGTAAATTAATGTGTGGCTTGTTTCCGTTTTGCAATAAAACAAGTGTTCCTACTATAATCCAAAGCAAACTGAATCTGGAATTTCTAACCCATCATCAAATAACCCTAGCTTGTTTTTAGAAAACGCAAAGGCTTGTTTTTTTCCYGAGCAGCCTGTCACCTATGGTTTGTAAACCAAATGGGAAAAGTAATATTTGTTTGATCACGTTTGTTTCAAAATTGGTGTTAGAGTAGATGGTATAATTTGTGTTTTAACTGTGGCAGAATAGGTTGAATCACTCTTCTGCTTTTCCCCAATAAGTATGACCTTTTAAAAAAAGCTCTGTCCCAGTGAAGTTTTAGGATAATGACTTTATGGTGATTGTATCGCATTGACTGTAGATTTAATTGTTGGGCTCCTGTCCCTCTAGATGGTCAGGGATGGGTAGACCGGTGAGAATTGTCAGACACTTATTCCACACATTGAACACGGGACACACAGGCTGAACAAAGGACACATTAAATGTGTGGAGGTGCTGTGAGCCCACGGCATCGTAGAAAGACAGATATCCGACATCGTAATCGAGCAGGATCCCAATGCGACGAAGGTGGGGAGACGGCTCAATGGCTAGCTCCTTGCTGTTATGGCGAACCACCCAAGAGTTGTTGCAGCGGCAGATCACCCAAGAGGCTGAGTTCTTGCCAATCCACTCGTGCTTTGGGGCTGATTTGTAGGCAATACCTACTGCGTACCTGTTTTAACAAGTAAGATTTTTTTTTATGCGAAACATTTGCTCAAGCGCTGTAAATTATTATTAGAAATATCATGCCTACCATGTGCTTCCTCCTATCAAAGCCTCCCAGTAGTGACGCCCACTGTCAATATAGACATTTCCCACCACACCATAGCTGCTCTGGCTGGAGAACCGATCCTGGCTGTGGCCTTTCTTCGATGTGGTTTCATCCCGCTCCACCGTGAGGTTATCGTGTGACACCTTCAGCTTCTTATGAGCCGATTTGGGGTCTAGTTTAAATGGCTGACCTGGTTGTAAAATGAATTAGTTTTAAAGATGAATTGCAATGTTACAAAAAGAAACACATTGTATTTGCAAGTCTTCTTTTTCTTACTGTTTGTCTTTAGAGTCCCTGGTTCACTGCTCCGGCTTCCCGCTTGATTGATGGCCTTTACGACAAAGATATACTTGGTGCCACTCTGCAAACCATGTACCGTGTAGTGGTTCTGTTTGATGTTGGGTACAATCATCCAACTTTCCAATGAATTACATAAACCTGGAGACACAACAGTTATGCAGTTTAAAAACATTTACTCTTGTAAAGGGAAAAGWCTTGGATAAGACATGTAGTATTGGGATTATTTGAACTTGAGGCAGTTTTAGCACACAACCAATTTCCTTTAAGACGTTCAGGACAGGAGGGATGTACAACTGTGACAAGAGAGTGCTCTAAATTGAAAAGGATGTGTGAGCCTTTGGCAGTGGGAACAGGTAAGAGGGTGAGAAAAGGCACAAGAGGAAACAATTCACACCTCGTTGACTTCATACCAGCACTATGCTTTCTGCTGTGTGTGTGTGTGTGTGTGTGTGTGTGTGTGTGTGTGTGTGTGTGTGTGTGTGTGTGTGTGTGTGTGTGTGTGT